AGCCTACCTACAGCCACCTGGGACGAATCACTGCATGGGCACCTGTGCATTTTCTTTATAAAAAGGAAAGTGGCGGCGGGGGGGGAGGTTTCCCCTCTATTTACCAACGCACATGCTGGGTTTACAGCACCCAAACACTGCAGAAATTCGGATGTTTTCTCCTACCGACACCAAAATAAGCAGCTAAGATCCCTCACAGAAAGCACAACAGCGAGGGCAGCCCCAGAGGCACGCCGAGCTCGCATCATGGCTGCTCGAGCAGCCGACACGGGCAGGATCGGAGGCTCCAGTCCCTTGCATGGCACCGTCAGAACCGTGACCGCGATGCCAGACCCCAAAACACCTCCCCGGGGTCCCCAAAACAGCTCCCCGGGGGTCCCCGAGGCTGCAGCTTTCCGGCAGGCAGCGTGGCTGCGTGCGCTGGGCGGAAACAATAGGAGCCCGGATCAAAGGCACGGCCGGGTCCGCCGAGCTCCCGGGGTCAATTGGCCCTTTCCTGTTTGTTTATAGATTTATTTTTTTCCCCCCCAAACACCAGCTCGGAGGAAAACCTGATGGCAGAGCCGTGGCGAGGCCCCTGCGGTCCCCCCCCCTCCCAGGAGAAGCCGGCGGCCTCGCTGAGGCGCCCACGTCCAGTGGGGCTGCTCAGGGAGGGGGGGGGCAACAAGTCCAGATCTGCACAAGGAGAGGTGAAAACCTCCCCAAAAACCACCTCCGAGTGCCCAAAACGACAGGCGAGAGGATGAGGAGGAGAGGAAGGCTCCTCCTGCAACAGGCACCTGGCCTCGCACAAGCGGCCATCACCCCCCCACACACCCCAAAAGCGAAGCACCTCGGTGGCCGACCAGGCCGGGGCCACCCTCCCTGCCAACAGGTGCCCCCCCCGAGGCATCAGACGCCACACCATGAGGAAAAAGGGCTTATTTTTCCTCATAAAAAGCACAAATGTGGGGATTTTTGCTTCCCCCCCCCTCCTCAGGGAAAGGCAAAGGCGCGCGGCGAAGGCCGCGAGCAGCCGAGACAAAAGAGTTCGCCCTCCCTCCAAACAAATATTTGCCAACAACGCCATGGCGATTTCTTTTTTTTTTTTTTTTGGGGGGGGGGTGTTTTGTTTGAAAGAAAGGTTCCTTTGCTAAAAAAACCCAAAACACCAAAAAAAACGGCAGCCCGAGGAGGGGGCACTGGTCCTGCAAAGGGTCAGCCCCCCCCCCCCCCCCCATTTCGGCCTGGTCACGGCCACCAACACCTCTCTCAGCATGGACATGGGGGAATTTCTGCCCCCCCCTACAATTGGGGGGGCCCCAAAAGCCTTTTTGGGCCCCACAGACATGCCCAGGCCCCCCCCGGTCCCTTCTCATTCCAGAAGCCCCCCCCAGCCGGCGGGTCTCTCCCCAGGCAGCCCTTGCAGACCCGGCGGATTCCCCCAAATCAGCCCCCATTTCCCCTCTGTGCCCCCCCCAAAGGCTCCACCAGCACCCTACACACCCTTGATGCCTCCAGACCCCCACCTTTAGCCCCCATCTCCCCCTTCCCTGCACCCTAAGCCCCCTGGGCCCTCCCCTGTATGATGCAACCCCCCCTTTTTTAAGGGGGGTGGGGAAATGTCACGATAGACCAACAAAAGACCCCAACCCCAGCCCCTTCCCAGCCCCCCCAGCTGACCTCATGCCCCCCCCATAGCCCATCTCTCCCACCAGGGCCTCCCCTTTGGTTCTCCCCCCCCCCAGCCCTCCTAATATGCTCCCCTAGACCCCCCGTTCCCCCCCCAGCCTCCCTAGTTCCCCTCTAGAACCCCCAAAGCCTCCATCAGCTCCCCCAATTCGCCCCTACAACCCTCTCAGTTTCCCCAATTCCCCCCCATAATGCCCCCAGTTGCCCCCCCAGCTCCTCTCAGGCCCCCAAGTTCCTTCCTAGAGCCCCCACCCCACCCCCAGCTCCCCCCATACCCCCCCCAGTTGCCCCTAGAGCCCCCTAAGCCCCCCAGCTCCTCCCTAGAGCCCCCCTAACTCCCCTAGTTCCCCCCAATGCCCTCCCAGTTCCCCTCTAGCACCCCCAACCCCCCCAGCTCCCCCAATTCCCCCCCATATCCCCTCCAGCTCCCCCTATTCCCCCCTAATACTCCACCAGTTCCCCTCTAGCGCCCCCAACCCCCCAAAGCTCCCCCAATTCCCCCATACCCCCCCAGTTCCTCCAGCTCCCCCCCAATACCTCCCCAGTTCCCCTCTAGCGCCCCCAGCGCCCCAGCCCCCCCAAAGCTCCCCCAATTCCCCTCCATATCCCCTCCAATTCCCCCCATAACCTCCCCAGTTCCCCCAATTCCTCCCAATACGCCCCCAGTCCCCCTCTAGCGCCCCCAATTCCCCCCCATAACCCCCCCAGTTCCCCTTTAGCGCCCCCAATCCCCCCATATCCTCTCCAGTTCCCACCTAACCCCTCCAACTCCCCCCAACCCCCCCATATCCCCCCCACAACCCCCCCAGTACCCCCTAGAGCCCCCAAAGCCCCCCCAATTCCCCTCCCACCCCCCCATAACCCCTCCAATTCCCCCCCATAACCCCTCCAATTCCCCCCCAACCCCCCCCAATTCCCCCCACAACCCCCCCAGTCCCGCCCCATCACCCCCCTAGGGGTCTCCCCTTCCGTCCCCAATTCCCCCCCCCCCCCATTTCCCGGTGCGGGCGGGGGCGGGGCCGCCCGCCATGTTACAGCCGGGCCCGGGGCCACCCCCCCCCACCCTCACTCACCGCGAGCCCCACCGGGAGCCCCGGCCAGGAGCAGGGCGAGGAGGGGCAGCAGCAACGGCGGCGATAACGGGGGGGCGGGCGGGGGCCGGTGGCGGCGGCGGAGGAGGAGGAGGAGGAGGAGGGGGGGGGCGGCGGCGGCCATGGCGAGCGCCGCGGCCTCGGAGCCGAGCGGGCGGCGGCGGAGCGGGAGGGGGAGGGGAGGGGAGGGGCAGGGGGAGGGGGAGGGGAGGGGTTTAAAGGAGCAGCGCGGATCGGGGGGGGGGGGAGGGAAAGGGGAGGGGGGGGATTGGGATTGGGATTGGGATTGGGGAGATGGGAGGGGGGACTGGGGAGGACTGGGGGAACTGGGGGGTACTGGGAGGTTGAGGAGGGGGGCTGGGGGGGTGGAAAACGGAGGTGGGGGGGTGAGGAGGGGTGAGGAGGGGGGCTGGGGGGGATTGGGGGTACTGGGGAGGACTGGGGGGTACTGGGGGGCACTGGGAGGTTGAGGAGGGGGGCTGGAGGGGGGTAATGGAGGGGTTATGGGGGTGGTATGGGGGTTATGGGGGGGCTCCGGGGAGCTGGGGAGGAGACTGGGGGGTACTGGGGGGCACTGGGAGGTTGAGGAGGGGGGCTGGGGGGGTGGAAAGGGGAGGTGGGGGGGTGAGGAGGGGGGCTGGGGGGGATTGGGGGGACTGGGGGGATCTGGGGGGAACTGGGAGGTTGAGGAGGGGGGCTAGGGGGGTGGAAAGGGGAGGTGGGGGGTGAGGAGGGGGGCTGGGGGGGTTCTGGGGGGGCTGAGGGTTGCTGGGGGGGGGGTGAGGAGGGGAATTGGGGGGGCTATGGGGGGGCTCCAAGGAGCTGTAGTGGTTGAAAAAGGGGAGCTGGGGGGGGCTGGAGGGGGGTAGTGGGGGAACTGGGAGGAGGTGTGCGTGTGCACAGCAGCTTGTGTGCACGCGTACACGTGCACGTGTGCATGCACGCTTCTTGCATGTGTGTGTGCATTAAGACACGTGTGTGCATGCGTGTGCACGTGTGTACACGCATGTGTGTGCATGTCTGCACGAACACGTGTGTGCACGCATCCATGTGAACACGCATATACATGTGTGTATGCCTGTACACACGTATGTGCACACACACATGCATGTATGCACACGTATGCTGGCGAGTGCGTGTGTGTGCATGCATGCACACGGGGTGCACACGTGTGTGCTGGTAGGGCTTGGGGATGCCGGTGCTGAGCCACCTGCAGGGCTGTGCACCGTGGTGTGTGTGCAGTGCGTGTGCAATGCATGCACAGCGTGCAGTGCACACACATTATGCAGTGCACGCATAGCACGCAGTGTGTGCACCGCATGCATTGCACGCGCAGAGCGTAGTGCACGCAGTGTGCAGTGCACACACAGGGTGCGGTACATGCAATGTGCAGTGCATGCAGAGCATGCAGTGCATGCACCGTGCGCAGTACATGCACAGTGTGCAATGCATGCACAGCGTGCAGTCCGCGCACAGTTTGCATTACATGCACCGCATGCAATGCATGCACCATATGCAGTGCATGCACCGTGTGCAGTACATGCACCATACGCAGTACATGCACAGCCTGCAATGCGTGCACAGTGTGCAGTGCATGCACCGTGTGCAGTCCGCGCACAGTTTGCATTACATGCACCGCATGCAATGCATGCACCATATGCAGTGCATGCAGCGGTGCAATCCAGAGCTCTCAGGGCGCTGCGTGCTGCAGTCCCGGTGCAGCTCCCACATACCAGGGTCTGATCCATGCCCCCCTCAGGACCCCTTGTCCCAGCCCGTCCCCCACTTCCAAGAGCCACCCGTTGCCCACCAGTTCCTCCCAGCTGCTAACTGGGAGCAGGGCACCCGCTGCAGGCTGTGCCTGCGGTGTCAGCGTGCGCCGGGCGCGTGTTCTGTTCCAGGCCAGGCTGACATCCCGCACGGGGCTGAGCCGGAAAAAAATCCCCATGTCAGCCCAGCTTTTCCGAGCAAGTTCCCCTTTCATCTTCGGGGGTGTTTTCGTGTTCCCCCCCCCTCTCCGGGCTATCAGCAGGAACCTCCTGCGCACCCGCTGCGATAAGGCGCCCGGGCTATCCTGCCTGAACAATGTCAGCGCTCGCAAACAGGACCTGGCCTTTGTTGTCTGCGCTTTCTTGGCATCTCAGGATCCTATTTTTTGTTTTATTTATTTTTTGGTGCGAATTCCTAGAAGCACAAGGGCGGGCGGCCCTGAGCTCGGGCGGTCGCAGAGGAGAGGGGTTGCGGAGAGGCTGGAGCGAGGTTTATTGTGGGATCCGATACACGACGGCTACACCCGTGTCGAAGCCATAAATTAAGCCATGCACAAGCTCCGGGCCGCGGGGTCCTCTCCTCGGTGCCCGGTGGGGGAGGCCGTGCAGCTGGGAAGCGATAAAATAGCTTGATGCTTTATTAAATATATTAAATCTTAATAATTAAATAATAAAGGCGCGCGTCTCCTTCTGTTGAACGCCCTGGGCGAGGCCGTGAGTAGTCCCTGACCCGACCAGGGAGCGAGCAGGAGCCGGCTGGAGAATGTAGGAAAATGCCTGGAAAACACCAAAATGCTGAGAAAACACCCAAACAGCTCGGAAAGCCAAAGCTCATCAGGTGAGGGCTCGGGCCCCAGCAGTCTCAACCCCCGGCACCTTCCCGTGGCTCCGTGGGATCCCCAGGACGCACGGCTCCAAGCGGCCCCGAAGCACCCTGGGACCAGCCTTTTCCAGCAAAACCCCCCCAAAAAAACCCCAAACCCAGAGCTGTGCCAGGTCCTGATGGGGAATTCCTGGTGCTGCCCCTTTGGGGCACAGCACGGGGATGGATCCGGCTGGGTAGGGGGCTGCGGGGTGGGCTGGGGCCGGGCGCAGGCTGCCCGCTGTGCTCCCCAGCCAGCATCAAATTTCGGCTCCGGGGGATATTTTTATAAACAGGCTGGAAGATTTCTTGCTTGCTATTTTTTTTTCTTTTTTTCTTTTTTCTTTTTTTTTTTTCCACCTTGCGGATTTAGAAGCCACTGGGGTGGGAAAAGCCAAGGGGGCCACTGATGATGGGGGGGGGGGGGGAATCTGCAGCCCCGGTGCTCAGCACTCCTGCTTGGGTTTGTCCAGGGAGTGGTGCAGCTTCTTCAGCGTCTTTTTGATCCGCAGGGCCGTGAGCCGCGCCGAGGGGCTCTGGTACCAGCACTCCTTCATCACCTTAGCCAGGGCAGACAGAACCTGGGGGGGGGGGGAGCAGATAAGGAGTGATGCTTCGGGTGATGCCAGGGCTCCCCAAACCTCCCCGGGCTCCCCAAACATCCCAGGCTCCCCAAACCTCCCCCAGGGTTTGCGAAAAGCTTTGGGGTGGGGGTCCCAGGGTTCCATCCATCCTCGCCCCCGCTGCCACCCGGAGCTCAGTGGCCCCTCCGTGGGCACTTTGCAGCCGGGTACCCCAAAACTGCGGCCCCCTGTGAGGCCCCCCCGAGCCCTCGCCTGAAGCCTCACCGAGTCAGAGAAGAGGCGGTTGGGGATGACGGGGGTCTGCTGGTCGACGCACACCACCTTCTTCATGTCCTCGAAGCTGGGGTCGCTGGGCACCACGTCGAAGAAGGGTGGCCGGTACTCCTCCACGATGCCTGGGGGGGGGCACAGGGAATGGGAACGGGGGCTACGGGGTGCCCAAGCTGCCCCCTGTGCCCGTCCCTAGGGTGGCACGGGCACAGCCCTGGGTTGGGGTGCACCGCTCCGGCCCCACCATGGGTCTTGGTGGGACATCTCGGGAAGGCGAGGGGGGGTCCAGCACCGTCTCCAACCCTAATGGGGGCTCCGGCACCAACTCCAGCCCCAATAAAACCCCGCAGCCATGGCGAGCCCGCCAGCTGGCCCTGCTAATCCTTGCTTAGTGCCTCCATATGGCCGTGCATCCGTGGGGTTTTCCCTCCCCCCAGGCTGCCCTGAGCACCCCACAGCCCCGTGTACCCCCGGGGTACCGGCGACCCCAAACCCCATCCCGGTTCCTCGGTGCCCCGGGGCCGTGCACGCGTGCCCGGGTTCCCCGCAAGGGTTAAAGCTGGCGGCTGAAGGTCGTCCCCTGCACATGGCCACGGTAATTCGGAGTAAATGTTTAATCTGAAGGAGCCCCAGGGCAGTAAATGAGATTATCCCGACCAGACTGCGCCTGGGGGGGACCTGCTGCTTCACCCTCCAGCGCCCACCATTTAATTAATGCCGCTAATGGGCTCTGCCGGTGGTGCTGAGCGGCGCTGGCTGGGGCAGGAGCCTCCTCTGCGGGGGTCCCCAGCTCTGTCCCCGTCCCCGAGCAAAAACCCCGTGGCCGGAGGTCCCGGCCGTGGCCGGCTTCCAGGCAGCGCTGGATGCTGCTTGTTTTCTAATCAGCACTGAACAAACAGAACGCTGATTGAGTCTAATGGGCCCTTTAATCAGGGAGCCGGGTGCTGACACCAGATTACAGTGTTTATAAATTTACAGCTAATCTGCTGGGCGAAGGGGAAAAAAAAAAAAAAAAAGAAAAAGGAAAAGGGAAAAAAAAAGAAAGGAAAAAGGGGAAAAAAAAGGAAAGGGGAAAAAAAAGAAGGGAAAAAACAAGGAAAAAGAAAAAAAAAGGAAAGGGAAAAAAAGAAAGGAAACAAACGACAAAAAAAAAACAAGGTGTCCACCACCCCCAAAGGGAAAACGTAAAAACGTCCCCCTTCCAAGTCAACCAAATCAAAGGAAGCGGTGGGAAACAAAAAAGGAAAAAGGCC